GGGGGGGGGAGTATAGATTGGTTTGCTCGTCTGTGAATTGAATTACCACTTCAATGTTCCGGTACAAATTTAATGAATTCATATTACCTCTATTGGAAATAAGTCTTTCAAAACAATATTAAATTTGTTGAATATGCATCCATCTTATACTTAAAAAGTCATTTATAATAAATGAATCGTGATTGGACTTGCTTTTCTATTTTGTACATTAACATTTACTGAGGTTGATACGAAAGACCCTACTATGCTGGAGATTTGATTCTATTTTTGTTCAAGATGTTAGTAAAAAGAATGCGTTTATGGTGTAATTTGTTGGGAGTTTGACAAGAGTAACTTATGCATGTGTCAGGGAAGCTTAGTGTCAAGACTTAAGTTCTCGAAATGTCCATCACATGAGGAGGAGGAGGAGGTGCAATAAACATTAAATTTCAGGAGATTAAAATTCAACTGTTCAGAAGACACGTGTGGCCAGTGTCTGCTATACCACACAGAAGTGATATTGGCCCCTATGGTGTTGGAAATTTCGTAAAAATGACTGAGCCAACTGCTCCGTGTGATATTGACTTAATAAAACTGAAAAGTGAGATGAACTAAAGCCTTGACGGTCTGACTCTAAAGGCCCAGGTGCCTCAGTATCATTATTCTATTTAGTGAAGTTATTATTTAAATCCCTAACCTAAATCTAATTATTTAATGAAAATATGCGTGAATACATTTCGGTCATGTCCACACATTCGTATCCTCTAATATAGATATACTGCTGAAGAGTCATTTTCCGTTTTGAGGATGTCTTTGCATCTGTCTATAAGTCTCGGTAATACTGTGTTAGCTAAATGAATCCGACTGTAGGCATAAGCAAACTAATTGGAGTTGATATTTCACCTTCTCATTACACACTATTACAATTTTAGTCATGTCGCATGCGATAACTTGTTAACCTCACGATGTGAAGAGCATGTCTTCAACACTTTCTACATCATAGATACCAAAATATGAGGTGATTGAGCCCATTTGTTCGATGCAAGTAGAGAAGAGAACAATTATTAGATATTCACGCGTTTTTACAACTCATTTAGGCAATACTTCTCGCGTGTATCTACCCAGATATCCAATACTCCATCCCGTTAAATAGGCAGCGAATCAAAAATTACTACAACGGGAACCAGATGCCCACCAAACCCTTCGATCAGACTGACTCGGAAGATAATTACGACGACGGCATCAATCCTAACTACTGCTCTTCAAGTCGATGGTCAGTGACGTTCACACCGGAGAAGAATCTGATTGTGGATGATGGTGACAAATGGCCAGGTGGGGGTGGAGGCGAGGTGGGTGGCAGTCTGGGGACTGAGGTTCCTCGTCCTGGCCCATCCTTCTTCACTATCATTTTAGTGACGGTGATAATTGGCATTGCATTGGTCGCTCTTATTTGCATTGCGGTACAGTGCTTCTTCAGGTTAGAACAATTTGACCATTATTGAAGAATGTTGAGTGAGGTCGGAAGAGTTATGCTTGATTGAGTTGAAATTGTGTTATTTTACTTCAAAGACATTCATTGATTCAGTTAATTGTTGAAGGCATTCCCGTTAGATTAGTGTGATAGTTGGGTCGGATTTTCATTTGTTGAAATAATGATGATTCTATTTTCTTGATGATTGAGTACTATTTTCCACAGCTTGATTTGGATCGATAATTAAGATATGAATACACTCGTTACACATCTAGTGTTTCAAATGGTTAATCGCGCCCATTAATTGAGGCTAAAAAGGGTTAACTGTCGTGACTACTTTTCTGACCAAGGAAAGTACTGAGAAAGCCTTCCAAAAGGGACTCGAGTGTTACTAATACACTCAAAAGCGGCAAACATGACCTTGGCAAAGGGGTTTTAAAACCTTTTACTTTTATTAAAGTTTAAGAATTCTCTTGCATTTAAATTAAAACCATTAGTCCAATTGGCCTTCTCATTTATATCATTGACTCGAAATACAAGGCATGACTTGGGTGGTATTTTGAAGGCTCTTGGTTTCTTATGGAAAAAAATTTAAGCTCATTAGTAATCTCGTGATTAAGCCATTCGGAAACCATTCCTATGTACTTTGGCTGCAATTTAAAGTGAACAAGTGAAATGAATCAAGATTACGGTATAGTTTTAGAAAGTACTCTCGTCTTCAAGGCGTTAGTGCAATTTGAGATTTGCACCAATACAGGCCAACTTTGCTTTTACAGCAGCAGACGAATTGAATTATTGAAAGATTGCTATGGCATAAACAGCAAGTGCGCTTTGACCTCTTATCTGATCTGCGTAGTACATCGTAGCTATCTCCTTATTTACTTATTTTACTATTTTATACAATTTTCTGAGAGGTACAAGAACCACCATGTCATCGGAATCATTATGGAACAGTTTTTAAATTGAGAATAGTAAATGTGTGTACATTTTCTTCCAACAAAGATAGTTTTCATATAACTTCAAACGAAGGGAGTTAAAACATTGCATTTGGGCAAATTTGACTGAAAACAGCTAGAGTGGTACTGGTGTGGATGGTGAATTACAAATGTGCAGGAAAGCGGAAGACTACTAAACCTATAATGCTTAAAAAAAGATCTCTCAATTTCTTGTTTCCATATTTTCCAGACAATTAGCTCTGAAGTGAGTCTCTTTTAAGGTACATCACGTAGCCTAAATGGGTTCAAACTTAAGGGCACAAAATATCAATTTGTAAAAAAATGGGAAAATTGAAGTACACAGGAACAATTGTGAAACGAATGAATAGAGCATTTCTTTTAGTCATCTACTGCCAACTTCAAATTGCTATAGCATTCTGATCTTATTTGCAAGTGTCAGTTGTATGAACGAGTTTAAAATCCAGTTTTCTCTAAATTTCAAAGAACTATCTTAAATGAAATTATCTTCCACTTGAAATTTCCGATAAAGGCTAGGAAAATGAAATGCACAAAGTTTCGAACGTTTTTTGGATGATGCTTTGATTATTTTATTATCTCCCAATTCGTTTATTTCCAATTCATTGCAAATTTTATCAAACAAAAATATGGGAATCTAATATTTAATTCATTCATAGTTTGTAGTAATATTCTTATCTATATATATAATTTTTGCTTAGTATCAGGATTCAAACAGACAGGATGGAAAATTTCACGGAATTATGGCTGCTAGTTGTAATTTTTACATTATCCCAAATTCGAATTCAAAGTATGCCACATGACACTTAAAGAATTTCATTGCACTGAGTTATATTACTGTGCATGGGTATTTTTATGAAATCGTGCAATTGATTGTAATAAAAATTGATTTAACAATATTTTGACCTACAGAATAAATACGCATTGCTTTATTAAGATATTCTCAGCGGTAAAATTACCTCCGCCATGGTAACAATTTAATAGAGTTTCAAAAAATATAATTAAGCCCAGTTATTGGGAGTCTAAGAAACAATTTTCGGATGGGAGGACGGATAAATAAGATTGAGCTCGATTAAGGGAAGAAATTCATTAACACGAGATAAACCAGTAGATTAGTGAAGGTCACATCGAGGGGCCTTAATTAACTCGAGTAATAATTTTGAAAGCTGTGATCTCTATTCCTCCTCTAACGAGTTATCGTAAAGGTAATTTCTTAAGATGGCGATCTATTATATGTAATTAATAATTTCCTTTACTAATGACTACTTTTCTTTCCCATGATCACTACATTTTCTCCAAAGACGCATTCGTAGCCAACTCTTCTACATCAACTTTAATTAGAATTGAAAGTAACTTCATTCACTATTAAGCAACTTGCTCAAAACTCATATCAGCTTTTAGCAACTGCATTGAGTGCCGTAGTGAGCTAATGCAAAAATGTATGAAAGACTTTTGATTAATTTTGAGTTTGTATGTGTGGGTGTGCGTGGTCATTTCGTACATATTTTTAATTACCGAATGATGGTAATTAAGCTATCAAAAAGCAGCTGAGTCTTAGAGAGTTCCAAATGATAGAAATTGCTTATTCTTATTCTTATTTTATTTACAAAAGGGTTTGCTGGGTTCCCACAGGAAATTTCTAAGAGATTTACGTATTCTTCAATCGTATTGATATGCTCGCCAAAGATCATAATTCATTAGCCAGGTGGGGAAGGGTGGGGAAAGGTGGGTT